GCCCTGGAGTTGGAATACCCAGCTTTTAACCTTAAGTTTGTGACTTTTTTCATGATGCACATGATCTTAGACAAATTACTTCCAACTCAGTACCCATTTCTCCTACTATAAAATACTACTGTGTTGTTATAGAGACCGAAAGAAATACCGTCTTCCTGGAATTTGAATTATTTGTGATGGTGGCAGTCCACCCTTGAATGCCTAGGGAGATCAGGTTGAGGAGCTCAAACCTGCCTTCCTTGTTAGGACCTGTGATGATGCACCATCTCTTCTATCCCACCTTGAAGGAAGACACTGAGCATGTGCCAGGCACCCCTGAGCAGGACTCAGTCAGTAAGGACTAGAACCAGAGGGGTAGGTTGTAAGCTGGAGAATCGAGGATAACCTTTTTCTCTTATATTTCTGAGCCCTATCCTGGACTCCTCTGCAAGCTAGTTGGCATGACTTATTGGGGTAGATTTGATTTTCTTCCCTTCAAGTGATAATGAAATTAAAGTGTTACTCTCAAGTTCATTTTGATTTTAACGCCACCGCTATGCTTTTAACCTATGAGATTGTTGTCATTGGAAACATCCAAACATCCTTCAGTGTTTCATTCAGATCATAATGGCCAGGAAATCGCTGGCTATTTGTAACAAACACTGCTGTCTTCTGTCCAGGTTTTTTTTCTGATAAGAAAATCTTTTTTTTTACTCAAATTTAATTTAAAATTTAAAACTCTTACTACTACAACTTTCAGCAAAACTCTGTAGTGTGTGGTGTACCTGCAGAAGCCAAATGAGGTTGGCTTCTAGCAAGTCCTAGCTGTCCTCCTGTCTCCTTGGGTCCCTAGCACTGAGGTTTCAGACATGACTCCCATGGCTGTTTTTTTTTTTTTTTTTTTTTTTACATAGGTACTCTAGATTTGAACTCAGGTCCTCATATTAGTGCAGCAAGTGCTATTACCCAATGACCCATCACCCTAGCTCCATCATTTTTTTAAACATTTATTTATTTACTTATTTGTTTATTTTATGTATATTAGTGATCTGTCTGCATGTATGCCTGCATGCCAAATGAGGGCATCAGATCCCATTATAGAATAGTTGGGAGACCATGTGGTTGCTGGGAATTGAACTCAAAACCTCCTTGAACAGCCATCTCTTAACTGCTGAGCCATCTCTCCAGCTCAAACCTAGTGACAAAATTTTAAATCAGGCAATGTCAAATGACTTCACTGAGTAAACAAAATCAGAAAAACTGCTGATTCTGAAATAGACACTGTTAAGTGAGACAAATTACTATGCATCTACTTTTTTAATTTCAAAACTACTTACAGTTTTAGATATATGATGTTGGGGGTACTGAAGATTTAATCTAGAGTACCCTCATATTCTACAATCAGAGTTATGATATATCTTGAGAACTTTTAAGGTTTCTAAAAAATATATATATTATGAAATGGGGTCTTGATAAATTACACAGTCTGGCCTTGCACCTACTCTAATAGTCCAGGCCTATCTTGAATTTGTGTTTCTCCTGCCTTAGCCTCCCAAGTAGCTGAATTACAGGCCTGTGTCACCAGGCCCAGTTAAGGTTTCTTCATATTTTTTGTTTGTTTGTTTGTTTTCCTTTGAGGTAAAATATTCTTTAGTAATGCCAGCTATTCACAGCTGTTGAAGATGGGATAGGAAATCTAATAGCAACATACAGTATAAAGGAATTTATTATCTTATATTTATAGACTTTAGAAGGAAGTGTCTCTGAGCTTAGAGGGTGGGGGTATCTGAGTTTAAACACATTAGTAAAGAATACAAATCCATAATTTAGGAAGTTAGTTCTATTTTCCCAGTATATCTTGGGGTTGCCACATACTAAGAATTTAGCAGCTTGGTGTGTGTGTGTGGGGGTACTAGATAGAATATATGGCATGGATGATCCCTCTACTCAGGTAGCTTCTGTAATCTGATATTCCTATGCTTTGCATATATAAAAGAAAGACTTTCTGGAAGAGGGAGTATCTCGAGATGGGGCCCCAGGGATTTATAGGTGTCATATTCACTTCAGGCTACTTCCTGTTGAAATTGGAGCCTGGTAGAGGTCAAGGGCAAGTTCCCCTCTCTTTTCTCATGCCATTTGATCAGTTAGTGATATTTAGTTATTGATTGATTGAGCCAACACAGGGACTTGAACTCTGAGTTAGTGATTTCGTTTGTTTGTTTGAGACAGGGTTTCTCTGTGTAATAGCCTTGGCTGTCCTGGAACTTGCTTTGTAGACCAGGCTAGCCTCAAACTCACAGAAATCTGTCTACCTCTGCCTCCTGAGTGCTGGGATTAAAGGTGTGTTCCATTATACCTGACCAGTTAGTGATTCTTGAGTTGTGGGCTGGTATTTGTATTGAGTCATCAAGAGGTTATCCATGTTAGTCCGAGTGGTATGCTTGATGCTGATTTGTATGAACCAAATTAACATATTGACTAAAAGGAGAATGAAAATCAGAATAAAATGGTGGCATGTCAGGGGCAGGAGAAAAGAGGGTTTGGAAGCTTGTTTAATGGGAAGAGAGTTTAATTTCTGCAAGATTAAACAAGTACTGTAGATAGTTGTTGGTAATGTATACACAATGTAAATGTACTTAATATTACTCACCTGTACATTTAAAAATAATATGGCAAATGCTATACCATGCATATTTACCTGCATTTAAAAATCCTGTCATATTGTTAAAACAATAAGAGGCTTTAATCAAATAGTACCCCCCCCACCAACACACACACACACACACACACACACACACACACACACACACACACAAACACATAGGAGGATGTCTGGAAGATGGCTATGGGAAAAAGAATGGATTTCTAAAAAGCTGTCAAGAACCCAGAAGCCTGTGTTTCTGCTGGGGCATGAGTAAAATAGACTTGCTTTTGTCCCTAAGCATCCATTCTTCTCTTCTTCCATTAGTAATTAGATGATGCTTTTTTTCCAAGCCTGTCTGCTGGCTAGCTGAGGTCATATGGCTAGCAGCTAAGCACCAGCTAATGGGTTAAGAATGGAGTTGGGGGGGATGGAATGGAAGGGGGGCCATGGGAGAGAAGGAGGGAGGGAACTGGGATCGATATGTAAAATAAGAAAAAATAATAAATATTAAAAAAAATAGAAATAATGAGGGCCAGACGGTGATGTCCCACACCTCTAATTCCAGCACTTGGGAGGCAGAGGCAGGTGGATTTCTGAGTTTGATTGAGTACAGATCGAGTTCTGGGACAGGCTACAAAGCTACAGAGAAACCCAGTCTTGAAACAAGCAAATAAACAAAAAGAGTAGAAATAATGAGTACCATTCTAGGGCTTACCCTCATCATAATCAGATTTGTGCTTCTCTGGTCTCTTTCCCCATTCTCAAAACCATGAAATGGTGAGAAACAAAATAAACACATAGGTCCCAAAGATAGAAGCCCCATGGAGAATGGCAGAACCCTGCTTAGAGAAAGAAATCTTGCCATATTTAAGACACTGTACTTTGGCTTTCTTTGTTACTATAGATCTATTGTATAGATCTAATTGTAATTAATATGTTAGTTTTCTTGTGTCCATGTCCCAACTGAAAGAATGAAAGTCAGATAACTAACTTGTCTTTAGCATTATGTTTTTGTTTGTTTGTTTTTGGAGAAAGATGTGGCAGAAAAGAAAACACACTGTCCATGTGAGTCAAGCAAAACTTTCCAACAAATCCTTGGCATTCATGCAAGAAGGTCTCAGGTCTCACTGACCAGACCTGTTAGGCGTGGTCAAAACCCACTCTGAGGAAGATCGATCCTTCTCCTCCCCCACCCAGCAAAAAAAAAAAAAAAAAAAAAAAAAAAAAATAGCAGCTAGTGTTTATCCACTGTACCACACACCTTTGATCCCAGCATTTGGGAGGCAGAGGCAGGCAGATCTCTGAGCTCCAGGTCAGCCTGGTCTATGTATCACATGCATGTCCGGTGCCCATGCAGCCCAGAAGGTGTGATATTCCCTGGAACTGTTACAGAGTTAGTTATACATGGTTGGGTTCTCTGGAAGAGCAGACAGTGCTCTTAACCACTAGCTATCTCTCCAGCCCTAAGGGCACATATTTCTTTTGTGCACATGACTGTCCTAAATGCAATCAGGGTTACATTAGAAAGGGGGACAGTGATGATGGGTACCAGGCAGACAAGCAAGCAGGTAGGTTGCATTGGGCTTGCAATAACAGGCAATTAAAAAACAAGACAGCAAGCCGGGTGTGGTGCTGCATGCCTTTAATCCTACCATTTGGGAGGCAGAGGCAAGTGGACCTCTATGAGTTCCAGGCCAGCCTGGTCTATAGAGTGAGATCTAAGACAGCAAGAGCCACACAGTGAAACCTTGTCTCGAAAGAAAAAAAAAAAAAAAAAAAAAGAAAAAAAGAGCCGGTTCAGTGGCTAAGAGTATGTACTGTTCTTCTCGAGGACAGGGTTCCGTTCTTATCACGTAAACCAGGCTGGTTACAACCACCTGAAACTACAGTACCAGGGGATATGACATCTTCTGACTTGTCGCACACATGTGGCATAAACTCACAAACATAAAAATACAAATCTAATAAATCTTTAAAAATAAGAAATAAAACAAAAGATAAATAGTTGACGTGTGTGTTGCTGGGTACTGGACCCAGGGCCTTCCTTGCACATGCTAGGCAAGCACTCTACTACTGTGCTACACTCACAGGATTAATAATTAAGTTTAATATCTCACAGTGAATTTTTCTGAGAAACAAAAAGTTGTATTTCTTTTTCCCAAAAAACAAAAAAACATAGCAGCTAGTGTTTATGGGGAACATCCACTGTAGTAAACATACCAAAGACTTACCAGGTATTTGATTCTCCATCGACAATCATTAATAACGTTATTACTCTCAACAAATTAGTTTCCCCCCCCACCCCTGGAGGCTCCGCCCCTCCTAGACCCGCCTCCTTCTACGATTGGCTTTCCCCCACTTCCGACTGCTGGGCTTAGGCGCACTCCTGCTTCCGGTGTCATGGCGGCCTAAGGTCCCGGGAGTCGGTGCGGGCTCTGCGGGCCCCTCCCTGCAGAGCGGCGGGTCCGGGTGGGGATGTGACGGCGGGCGCCACGGGCCTGCCTGGCGCGTCGTGTCGGCTCGCGTGTCCTCGCCCCAGCCCGCACCATGGCGGGTTCCGGCTGCGCGTGGGGCGCCGAGCCGCCGCGCTTCCTGGAGGCCTTCGGGCGGCTGTGGCAGGTACAGAGCCGCCTGGGGAGCGGCTCGTCGGCCTCGGTGTATCGGGTGCGCTGCTGCGGCACCCCGGGCTCGCCCCCCGGAGCCCTCAAGCAGTTTCTGCCCCCGGGAACCACCGGGGCTGCGGCCTCGGCTGCAGAATATGGTTTCCGCAAAGAGAGGGCGGCGCTGGAGCAGTTGCAGGGTCACAGGAACATCGGTAATTGTGGCTGCATGCCATCTCTTGCCCAGGTCCCTGTCCAAGCATACATGTCCCCAGCGATCCTCTCTTCCTCCCGGCCTTTGGTCCTTTAGGTGGGAGGAGAGGATTGGGCCCCACTAGTTATCGCCCGGTGCAGGTCCCTTTTCTATTCGCCTTTCCTTTGCAGCTCTCTGAGGTATGGTGGAGGTGTTTATCACATAGCAATGCTTAGGAAAGTCCTGTTTGCTTTGATTTTAAGCCGGTACTTAGCAGCATAGATAAATGCCTTCTGCAGCGAAAGACATTCCTTTGCTAGGCTGTCATGTCTTGAGTGGAAATTTTTGCATCTTTTCCTTCCAATAGGAAGTGGAAAATATTCAATGGCTATGGTATCCGTTGATATCAGTGACATCTACTGACATACTAGCAACTCATAAATATATAGTGTGGATTTGGGAGAGGGGACTAGAAGTTATGAAAGTGTAAAATTTAGGATCACTGCATTTGCTTCAGTAAGACTTTCATGACTCAGATATTCAGAATGTAAACTTGTGTTGGTCATATATCTTGATATATAGAACCCATGTGTAAACTGAAGAAAGACCTTTTAATACTTCGTTGACAGGATTTTCTGATATTAGTATTGTTTTTCTTTCGTTAAACTTACTAAGTGGAATATCACTATAACCTTGGCGTTTGACGGAATTTTTTTGCAAGCCTCAGTACTTGTTGAATCTCTGCATGATTACATTAAAATGTTATCTGCAATGTCTTGATTTTTTTTTTCTTTTACACTATTTAGAGCATGGAATATTGATTTGAATCAACCAACCTTCAATTTGTTTTTAAGGATTACTTAATATTACAGTTTTTACTTTTAATATTTTTTCTTGACACCTTAAGTGGCACCACTGCATATACAGTATTTTATTTTATTTAAATAACTCTCATGTTCAAATATCTTTCTCATTGGAAAAACAGTGGAAGTTTCTTGCTACTTAAAATATCCTTATCTGGGAGCAGGGGGTAGAGTAGCTCAGCTGTCCCTGCAGAGGACCTCAGTTCCGTTCCCAGTGCTGCTAGAGATTTGGGGGCATACTGCCTCAGTAGTCAAATGACACTAGGGAAATGCTTGAGGACAATTTTGTTGGAGTTTAAAAGAAAAACCCCAGAGCACATAATCTGTCAATCTCAGCAGCTGCTCTGAGGAGAAAATAAAATAAAAGAAGAAGCCATGTTGCTTGTTGTAAGCCATCGTGGAGGTGTTCAGATAACCACAAGGCTTGGGGGTAGCTTTGGAGAAAGAGTGGTTTTGAGAAAAGCATGGTTTGTTTTTTAAGAGCCTGGGCCAGGCTCAGGAATTCTGGAGGAAAAAATTTATGTCATGGAAGGACTAATACTAATCCTGTCCCTTTAGCATAGCTAGGGTTAAGACCCACCAACTGGATTAACCCTTTAGAGAGGAAAAGAAACAATTATCTACCTAGAGGGCAATTCTTTTGTTTTGTTTTTTAATACTATAACTGTAATTCTCACAACAGTCTCACGTGAAAAAGTTTTCTTTGTCTAGACTATCCCATATTTATATGGAAGAGTTAACTGCTTTGGTAGTGAGTTACTGTGAACTTTATTTTTAAAATATTGTTTTTTTTTTTTTTCCTAGTGACTTTATATGGAGTCTTTACCATACACTTCTCTCCAAATGTGCCATCACGCTGTCTGTTGCTTGAACTCCTGGATGTCAGTGTTTCGGAATTACTCTTATATTCCAGTCACCAGGGTTGCTCCATGTGGATGATACAGCATTGTGCCAGAGATGTTTTGGAGGCCCTTGCTTTTCTTCACCATGAGGGCTATGTCCATGCAGACCTCAAACCACGAAACATACTGTGGAGTGCCGAGAATGAATGCTTTAAGCTTATTGACTTTGGGCTTAGCTTCAAAGAAGGCAATCAGGTAAGAAATGTCTTTTCTTTTCCATTATGGTTTAAAATGTAAGGGTCCAAGCCAAAGATTTTTAATAACAATGTTAGTTTAGGGACTATAGGGGCACTTCCAAAATACCAGAGTGCTTCTAAGAGAAAAAAAAAACGAAAAGAATTTCAGTGCTGCTTTGTGAAACGGGGACATAAATTTAGGTCAGGTAAAAGGAGTTAATAAGAGCTCAGAAATGAATAAACATACTTAGCCTACATGGAAAGCTTGTCTGTCTGTCAGCATTTGCTGAGTTGCTCCTGTTTCTATTGGTGTTGGAGTATTCATGGCTGATAGCAGATGTGACAATTCAGGCAAGTCCTCACTTGCCTTGGTCTGTCAGGTTTTTGCAGAGGGTTTTTATCATCAGTGCATAATAGGTAAGAAACTATCTTTAAAAAAAAAAAAAAAAGACGTCTTTTTTGAGCAAATGTATGGAATGTGTCCAGCATTTCTGTGCCAACTGCCCAGTTAAGGAACTGAAGAATTATGGTAGCTAAGAACTAAAGTTTCTGGCATTCATTTTGTGGGTGGCCTACTGTGCTTTGAAAAGTGTATGGTAGAGAAAACTGGAAAGTGAGACCCTTCTAACTGCTGTCTTGTTTCTTGGTCTTCATAGGATGTAAAGTATATTCAGACAGATGGGTATCGAGCTCCAGAAGCTGAACTGCAAAACTGTTTGGCCCAGGCTGGCCTGCAGAGTGATACAGAGTGTACCTCAGCTGTGGACCTGTGGAGCCTTGGAATCATTTTACTGGAGATGTTCTCAGGCATGAAACTGAAACACACAGTCAGATCTCAGGAGTGGAAGGTAAATTGCAGAAGGGCTTAGCTTTGGGGCTCTTCATCCCTGTAACGGTTTAGGAGTTTGCTTTATAGTGGTCTTTCTTTTTTTTTAATTGCCTCCTCTCCTTCATGCTCTCTGTATGTATAGTATCTTCAGTGCCTCTACTCATCCCTAAAGCCTCAAATGCACTGATGATGTTGCATCCTCAATGCTGTTAATCTAGGTCCTCAGGTGTAGTAAGCATTTTCTGAAATGTTCGAGTGCATTTTCCCAAACTGGCTGAAGAAATTCCCTTTAGTTGGCCGTAGTGGCTCACGCCTTTAATCCCAGCACTAGGGAGGCAGAGGCAGGAGTATCTCTGTGAGTTGGTGGCCAGCCTGAGAGTTCCAGGACAGCCAGGGCTCTAAACCCTGTCTTGAACACCACCACCCCCCACAAAAAAATCCTTTATTTACTAAGTTAGTTATATTAGTGACAGAAATATTACTAGCAGAATTATAGGTATTAAGTTTAATAATAATCTTTTAACAATGCTCTACAATTAAAAAGTGCTTTATAGCACAATCATGTTGAATTTTTTGAGCAGTCCTATGAGGGTAGAGTTGAGTATTGGCTGCTAGAGGCGCAGTTGTATAATATAGCTAGTTCTCCTATTGGAAGTTTTCCATGGCTCCATAGTATTTTGTATTTATTAATATCTCATAGGCTGTTAAACATTTTGCACTGGCTAGATAGCTTATGTGGCTGTGGTATAGTGTCTACTGCTTTTGGTGTTTATGAGGGAGCATGGTTTTAAGTTCTAAACCTTAGATATTGAAATAAACTTTTTATATGTCTCTATGTTAGGAATTAATTGTAATTAGTTTTTAAAATATATTGTGATGTTTTATTATTGTGATATTCTCAGTATCCTTTAGGCTTGAGGTTTGCTATATAATACTTTAAATTATCGTTAAATATAATTTGAAGCAATAAGTATTTGAAATAATATTTTAATAATAAACATCTATTTGGTGGTACTGGCATGTGCCTTTGATCCAGCACTCAGGAGGCAGAGGCAGGCAGATCTCTTGAGTTCAAGGACAGCCTGATTTACAGAGAGTTTCAGGACAGCCAAGGCTACATAAAGAAACCCTGTCTTGTTCAAAACAAAACAAAACAGAAAAACAAATTAGCATATAGGAGGTGACCATTTTAATAGTTTTATTTGTGCTAAGTCCTAGTCACTGGTTTCTGGTTTAGTGATTCTTAGAAGGAATACTGTCTCTAGTGAAATTGCCTTATGTTTATTTTTGACCCCAAAAATGCTGCTATGGGCATAGAACCATATCATTTTTTTTCCTACTTGTGATATTTCCAAATAGATAACAAGCTAAGTGTTCTTTAGTGTTTATCTGAATATGGATCAGTCATCTAAATTAGCTTTGACTGTGTTTACACCCTCTGTACTGTATCTGCTTGGCCCACAGTACAACAGAAATATAACACTCTAATTTGTGTGAAACATGGAGGCATGACATATACTAATGGAATCTCAAATATGTCTATCTAGGTAAAGTCATAGTTTGTCTTAGCAACTTCTATAGAGGCAAAATTGCAAAGCTGGTGTGACCACATATTCTGAGGTTCATCTGTGTCTTTTTTTCACCTCCTACTAAGTTATTTGGGTTCATTAGACAATTTACTTTCCTTTAGTATAAGAAGAGTAATAATGTATTGTCTTATCAGAGTACTAAGGCTAAAAAAGAAGTGTTGCATAGTTTTTCAGCATAGTGTGTAGTCTGTGGTAAGTAACCTGTAGATTCTAGTTATGGTGGGTGTCTGATGTTTTAGTTATTTATGCAGTTCTGCATTTTGAGTTAGTATAGTACTTGCTGCATATTTTTAGTTACATTTTTGTAACTAGGGGAAATATTTATTTTGGGTAACAGTTTTAGAGGTATTAGTCCATGTGTCTGAAAGGGTGTGTCAGAGTGGTAAAGCAGTTTGCATCTTGGGGGCCAGGAAGCAGAGAGGGGTATTCTAGTGCTTGGTTGGCTGTCTCTTCCCTTTATTCTGTTCCCAAGCCTGTGAGGTGGTGCCACCTAGAGGCTGTGTGTGCTAACCCAACAGGTGTGTGTACCTTAACAGTGTCTTCAGTGATTCTAAATTGATAGTCAAGATTAACCATCACAGTACCCAAGGACTAAGTGCTATCATCTACAAATGGAATGGGGATAATGTAACAAAGGCAGCATTCTCATACTTCCTCCTTTTTCTCATTGATGGTTTATTTCACCTGAATACAGCAGACTCATCGATAGGCACTGTGACCCACCTATTACATTCATTCATGAAATAGTTTCTCAGTATGATTTCTTGAGTTTTACGAATTCATTTTGGAGCTGTTCATAGTGCCTGGTATTGTATTGGTGCCTCTAGAAATTCACTTTAATGCAGTCTCCTCCATTAAGATTATAAGTTCTGGGCTCACTGAGAGATGGCTCAGTGGTTAAAAACACTGACTGCTCTTTTAGATGACCTGGGTTCAATTCCCATCACCCACATAGCAGCTCACAACTGTCTGAAACTCCACTTCCAGGGGATCTGATACTTTCACACCAATGCACATAAAATAAAGTTAAATAATTTTTAAAAAAAGATTATAAGTTCTTGGAATAGGTATCACATGTTACTCATGGAATAGTGCCACATGGCTACTGCTCAGTAATCTGAGCTAAATAACTTAAGGAATAACCTCTCTCTCTTTTAGGCAAACAGTTCTGCTATTATTGATCATATATTTGCCAGTAAAGCAGTGGTAAATTCCGCAATTCCAGCCTATCACCTCAGAGACCTTATCAAAAGGTATGTTAGACATAGTATAACTTGCTTTTCAGATCTTAACTAACTAAAGTTTTTTGTTGTTGTTGTTGAATTTATACTACTGTTATTGATTTTCCTCATTTTGTAGATAGAACTCCCTTAGACATAGGAATTTTACTCAGGTGAGGTGTCAACATGCCTTTAATCCCAGCACTTCAGGGCAGTGGTAGGAGGCTCTCTATGAGTTCAAAGCCAACCTGGTCTGTAAAGAAAGTTGCAGGCTAGTCACAGCTACATAGTGAAACCTTGTCTCAGACAAAACAGAACAGTTAAGCTAGTTATATAAGTGTCATTCTTCTGCTGTCTTTATGTAATGTTAAAGGAGAGCCAGGCTTGAGGATGCATACCTATAATCCTGGTGTTTGGGAGGCTGAGGCCAGAGAGCTGTAGCTTGAGGCTATCTTGAGCTACATATGAGACTTTGTCTTAAAGCACAAAGAGGGGGAAAGGTGTGAGTTTTTCCCTTCCTTTGATCTGGTTGTTTGTTTGTTTGTTTTTTTCAATAAATCTCTCTTTCCCTCTGTCATCCTGTCTTCTCCATTTTGATCATTTGAATTCTTTTCCAAATATTTTTTTTCTCACTGGGATTTTCCATGAAGGTGTCTTGGCTAGTTATTCTAGGAAGTCTTAATTCTGATTTACTCTAGTTCTTATGATTTCCCAGGCTCACTTGTATTTAGCTGGTGTAAGTATAGCAGTTCATTGTAGTTTCATCTGCTGTTTTAAAATTGGCTTATTGTACTTCCCATTGAGTATCTGTTTGGCTTTTTGTTTTGTTTTTCTGCCTTATTTTCTTTTGTTTATTATCTATACACTTGTTTATTCTCTGTTTTCTTATGAATACTTATACTATAAGAGTATTACTACTATTGATAGTCTGTTTCCAGTATTGCCTGTAGATTTTTACATAAAATTGTTTTAAGATTAGGGGGATTTGACAAGATTCAGTTATCCCACTACTGTCTTCTGGTTTTTGTTTTTGCTTTTTGTTTGTCTGTTGTTTTTTAAATTGTGCTACCTTAAACATTTGTCTAGCCCTGCTCCCATTGTGCTATAGCATAGACATCGCTTTCTTATGTTTCATTTATTAGTTAGAAACATTAAGTCCTAGCATGATGCTATGTCAGAAATGCCTCATGCTCAGGTGGCCTTTCTCTTCTGCACTGGGGAATGATTCAGTAATCCATGATAATAGAGGTAGTGTTGAGATGAACTCTGAACCTTTTTTTTTCTGATAGTTTCACTTTCAGAAGATCTGGTAGTAACCATAATGATGCTGTTGTGTTTTAGCATGCTTCATGATGACCCAAGCAGAAGGATCCCTGCTGAGATGGCATTGTGCAGCCCATTCTTTAGCATTCCTTTTGGTAAGTTAGTTATATCTGTCATTATTTCCCCTCCCTGGGCATTTGGCAAGTGTCTGTATATTTTCAGGCTCCTTATTTGGTCAGCTCATCAGTTTATTGCATTTAACCGTATTGTCATGAACTTTCACAGCCCCTCATATTGAAGATCTGGTGATGCTTCCAACACCAGTGCTCAGACTCCTCAATGTACTGGATGATGATTACCTTGAAAATGAAGATGAATATGAAGGTTAGTGGTTCCCAGTTTATATTGTAGTGTGTCTTTCTTATGCACAGACCCTGACCAATGTCTGTGTAATATACATTTTATTCATAAGATTCTTTTATTTTTTCTAAACACAAAATTTAAAAAGACCCTTGAACTTTGATGCCTAAAATATTTGTGCTTTTTGATTCATAAAGTCATTCAGACTATGACATTTCATTTTAGGAAATTAATAGAGATTTGCCCATTAGATTCTGTCTCTGATCTGATCTGTCTCTTCTGTCCCTCCTTTGTGCTGTCCTTTCTGCTTTTTATCTTTCTCTCTCTCTGTCTCTCTCCCTCTTTTTTTTTTTAACTTTTAAAAGCCTTTTCATTCAGGCACATTTACTGTGTTAAATGGGATTATTTCTTGTTTTTAATACAAGAGAGACATATACAATGACGACAGAGAAAAAGGGTGCTCAGCCTAGCTTGAGTGATCAGTGAGGGCTTTCACTACAGTGTTAATTATCTAAAAGCTGAGTGGGTAGGAAGAAGTAACAGCTAGTAGAAAGATGTGCCAGGTTCAGAGAACAGCAGCTTGGCATGATTGTATCATAACTTATTTGTTGGAATACAGTTAAAGTTGCAACAGTAGCCAGTGTGCACATAACCTAACAGCCTTGATTACTGTGATTAAGAATTGGATCTTGTTCATGACCTAGTAACACTGGAATGTAGCACCCTTGAAAGAATGCATAGTAGGCACCCAATAAACATTTATGGTAGAAAGGAGCTAATGACATCAGTTCAAGCCAGATTGCTATGTCTTCGTTGCTGGGCACATAAACAGCAAAAACTATGGGAAATAGGAAATCAGATTTTTTATTACACTGCTTAAAAGAGTTTATATTAGACTTTTAGGAAAGACAACCTGATAATTTGAACAACATTGCAAGTTTATGTTAGTTTTGACCTAACAATGTTATTTCTAGAATATCAGCTGTGAGAAATAATGAAGTTAAATGAATTGTAAGTAGTAATGTTTATAATACCAAAAAGTTTTGAGATAGTTCAGTAGTCGTCAGTTAGAAGACATTGGGTAATTTTTGAATATAGTAAACTGTCCAGAAGTATATAGCCATAAAAACAAATGAGAAGAGAGATGAATTGTCAGTCACATGGTGGCTCACAGTGGCCCTGTAACTCCAGGTCAGGAGGATACAGTGCCCTCTTCTGGCCTCTGGGCACTGTGTTCACATGTTGCACATGTACATATGCAGCCAAAACACATAAACATAAAATAAATTTAATTTTCTCCACAAAGATATACTTAAATATTAAAGTTGAAATTCTTGCTTAAAATACATAAAATTGTATTTGCTTGTGTGTGCTGATAACACTCTGGCAGGTTACGGCAGTAACTGTAGTGCTGGTTGATTTCAAGAGGAGAAACAGGATGACTGTGGGATTTTTTTTTCAATTTTTGATTATTTTATGTATTTAAAACATTAGATGTGGGCTATTAAGAAATGGTTAATGTGTTGAATTTGTATTCTTAAGCTTTTTTCTTAAGCCGTGTCACTGTGTAATTACCTGCTGTTGTATGGTTTTCTAAGCAGATGTTGTAGAAGATGTAAAAGAGGAGTGTCAGAAATATGGACCAGTGGTTTCTTTGCTTGTTCCAAAGGAAAATCCTGGCAGAGGACAAGTAAGCAAACTGTTTATAAGCAGAAATATTTGGAGATTATTAAAATTTTATATTAAATGGGTTCTGTGGGAAGGTGTACACAGATTTTTTTCAGTATAGATTATCATTAATTTCTTATGCTTTTTACCTGTTCTACAATATATTTGATGTTGTAATCACTTAAACTTTGTTTTTAAAAAATGTACTTTTGAGCCATGTAAACAGTGACACCAACTGGATTGTGTGTGAATTTTGATTCAGTTCAATTAGAGAACTATTTGGTTCAATTTTGTTCAAATTAAGCACACTTGGAAACCCAGTGTGATTAGGTTCTGATTGCAATAGAAATGATTAGAGATCATTTAGAGAAGAAAAACATGCTGAGTGGAGACTCATGCTTGAGCTCTGTCTTAGTTATACCAGCCTGTATTGGTTCATGCTGCCTTCTCCATAAAAACTACGATCACAAAATATTTACTAAACTGTATCTAATCAAATCAAATGGCAAAGAGGATAAGAAAGTGCAAATGCTTTGTCTACATTATTTTTACTTTTGGTGAAACAGAAATTTTACTCCATTTCAAGTTTCTGTTTTACTCATGCAAGCCATACCACTTTGTTGAGGGAATTGCCCTGTAGCGTGTAGGCTGTGCAGCAGCAGCCCTTGCCTCTGCACATTCGCTGCCCTTCTTACCCTGAATGACTCCCACTGGAGATGTTCATCAGGAGTGCTACAATCAGTTTTCATTATGTACTTTACCAAATCCTCCTGTTCCAGCATCCTTAGTGCTAGGATTGCAGATACATGCTACCATGCCTGCTGATTGTAGATATTGTCTTATCTTAGCTCATGGGCCATTTTGAAATGCTTTTATTTCCATTTAATGGGACATTTTAGTTTTAGAATAGATGACAAGTCACTTTATCTAATTTCCTGTGTGTGTGTGGGGGGGTGTGGCTGGTCTTGTTGGGATTGCTTATTCTGGGGATTCTTTGACTCTCTGCCTTCTGAGGCTGGAAGTCAGACAAGCCAGCATGCCTATCTGTCTTTTTTCATGGGTTCTTGGGATCCAAACTCCAGTCCTTACCATTGTAGGGCAAGCAGTTTAACCAGTGTGACATCTCTCCATGCATGCACATATGTAAAAATAAGGCATGTTTTATCATTGGTAATCTTTACTTTGTCTTTAGTAGCAGTGCATAGCTTAGACATAGTTATATGGAAGGATCAAAATTAGCACAACCTCTTCTTTTTCCATATGTATATATAAACTCAGAAAACATCAGAGGTCCAAATTCCTTAGGTTTTATGTTATACATCATGCATAACAGAATACTTGCATGAGATAGAATGACTAGTCATAGGTCACATAGGGCTTTGTATATTAATAAAGGAATATTCCATAAAAAATTGAGTACTAGGGGCTTATGGCACAGATAGGAAAGGGCTTGCTGTCCAAGCATGAAAACCCATTTAAATCATTGGTATCAATGTAAAAAGCCAAGTGCGTTGTCACGTACCTGCAATCCCTGCACTGAACTGGAACCAGGAAAAACCCTGGGGCTTTTGGTCCTCTGTTCTAGCTAGTTGGTGAGCTCTGATTCATTGAGAAGTTCTGTCTTTAAAAATTAGTTGGGGGAAGGGCTGGAGAGATGGCTCAGAGGTTAAGAGCACTGGCTTCTCTTCCAGAGGATCCAGGTTCAGTTCCCATGACCCACCTGGCACCTCATGACTGTCTGCAACTCCAGTTCCAGGGGAACCAACACTCTAACAGAAACACAATGACAGCATACAACAACAACAACAACAAAAAATCATTTTTTAAAAAAAGATGGAAAAATGATTGAGGGAGATACCTTCTTTAACCTCTTGCCTGCTCATGCACGTATGTGCGCACACACACAGAAACACACATGCAGGTATCCATGTACATGGAATTCTGTTAGGAATTTTCTCTTATATTCAGTAAAATTAATTTGACTTTTTTTTTTTTTTTTTTTTTCAAATGATAGCAGGATTCCAGTGAAAGGAGAGTGCCTGAATTTGTAGGTAGATTAATTTGAGGAAAATACAAAAGAATGTGTGTTGAAGAGTTAGGCATGGTAGTACATGCCTGTCATCCAGCATTTGAGAGGCAGAGACAGAAGCAGAAAATGAGGAGTTGAAGGGCTTCTTGCCGCGTAGCACGTTTAGGCCAGCTTGGATGATTTGGGACTCTGTCTGAAACAAACTGAAAGGTGAGAATCTAAATGTTGATTTTGCTAGGATCCATTTTCACATTGCCTTCAAAAGTCTCTGAACACCTGAGCTCAGGGGATTTCTTGATATAATGAATAAGGGACACAGTGAATAGAGAGGCAGTTCTTGAGTCTAATTCATTTTTTGATATGTAGGATAACTGAGAACAAGTCATTCCAGGTCATTCCCTTCCCCTGCCCTCTTGCTTTAGGACAGCAAAGAGAACTTCATGACTATCTCCCCAATCTCTACCTTTGAGAAGGATTCAGATGCTCTGGGAAAGGAAATTATTGGTTTTGAACTTGTTTATTATCGTTTTGGTCCTTAGTTTGTACAACTGTTTTAATAGGCATAGTTCCTAGTAGCTTTGTTTAGATATTTCTCTAAGTGTAGCTTTCTTTGTGATAGTGAGCGTTTCTCTCTGGGCTCTCCATCCTCACCTGGCTGTGTCTACTCATAACTACTCATCACTCACTCTATTTCACCAAATGTATATGCTTTTTCACCTAATTTGTCTTTGATAGCTCTTAAGAATTTGATGAATTGAGCTGAGTTCTAAGGAAGTGTTTTTAATCCTACTACTGTAAAGTGTGTTCAGTGGATTATCAGCATTGCTATTGGAACTTAAGAAATGTGACGAAGTGGACACAGGCAGGTAGGATGACATGGGGTTGAAGTTTTTGTGGGTAGGCACTTGCGCAGGCTAGATGGCCTAAGATCAATTGCAGGATCCCACAAGGTGACAGGAGAGAACAGACTCCTTCCTGAGAGTTATCCTCTGACTTACACCACACATACTTACACACAGAGAATTAATTTAGACTGATGAAAGCAAATCTGTATTGTAACAAAACCCCCAAGTGATACACAGTCATGTCATTTATTAACAAGAAATAGTGTGATTCTGTTGTATAAACTAATACACAGCACACTTACGGTTGCTCACATGATAAAGCCAACAAAACACCTAGACCGCATGACGTAGACTATTTTGCTGGGCTACAAACCTGGGATATCACTGTCATGAGTGTTGTAGGCGGCTGTGATACATAGGTAAACACTGGTATAAATGCCAGAAAGGTACAGTAAAATACCAGGCAATATGAGTTTTCAACTTCGTTATAGTCTTAGGGGACCTGTGTTTCACATGGTCTTTCATTGATGGTATGTGGCACGTGACTGGGTATACATTAAAGTTGGTAAAGCATTGATCTAAATCTAAAATCACTGTGGTAAAATGATGTTGTCTTCTCTAATCTCCTTCAGGTCTTTGTTGAGTACGCAAACGCTGGTGATTCCAAAGCTGCTCAGAAATTGCTGACTGGGAGGATGTTTGACGGAAAGTTTGTTGTGGCTACATTCTACCCACTGAGTGCCTACAAGAGGGGATACCTGTATCAAACCTTGCTTTAATTAGTAACCTAAGGACTATTTCCTGTTTCTCCTCTTCCATTTCTTGGATTACTATATTCCACAGCTGAATGCAGGAGCACCCCTTTACCCATTTTAAAGGGTACCTTGTACATTTATTTAATCCTACTAATGTGCAGCCATTGCCCAAACAGTGACTGCATTGCAAACATTGGCACTGAGTAGGACAAGACCTCTCAGCTATACATTGAGGGGGTTAGCGCACCCATGTGGGCACCCTTTGTTTGTGCAGTAGGACAGGTGCTGCTCTTTAGTATGTAACCTAAAAAGATGTCATTTTATGTGATGATGAAGCAAAGATGAGTAATTTGTCATAGTGAATATTCTTAACAAGTTTGTTAGGGTTGGTGACATCAGATTATTTGTTTGTATTGTCAGGTGTATCTCATTGTTATTCTAGCTGGCACTGGATGCTCTAATAATGTTAAGTCATTGTCAAGCAGCATTTACCAACCATGTTCTTAACAATGAGTTGTGAATTTTTCTAAGGGAGTACTGTAGGACTTAATTTTCCTCTGAAGAAACTGCAGTGAGCCTATCAACATTTTTAAAATTACTATTAAGGCTTTTAAAATAGAAAGCTGATGCTTGATCTTGCACAATTTTTACGTCTAGTATGTATGCTTGAGTGGGTGTACGGGTGTGAAAGAATAGAAAAATTTGAGTCAGTGTACTTTATAGTGTGAGTCTTGTGAGCTAATACAGTCTATAACCATTTCTTCCTACCTGTTTCACACTTGTGAGACTTGAAATATAGGTTTCTTGAAAGTTGGTCTGACTGATAGAATGTAAATGACAAAACAGTTCATTCCTGTAAAGTGCAGAACAAACTGGAGTCTAGACCAGGGTTACATTGAAACTCTTCAAAGTGACTGGAACAAAGAAGGTTTTGGTACATGTAAATTATCCCATTCTTTGGTTTACTCTAGACCCAAGATTGACTCATCTGTTTTGTACTGAACCTCTTGTAATAATTGTAAAATAACTCCAGATATGATTTTTTTTTTCTGCTAAAATGGAAAATTGAAGTGGATCAGAAAAAAAAGTTAGTGACAGTGAAGGGAAAAGAGAAAAATGTAAAGAAGGTAGCTGATCACGGATCCTTTCCTCCTCCCTGTGTCCTCCCTGCTGCCCTGCCGCCTCCACCTCCTTTCTTTCCCCTTGGCCTCTGTCTGTAGCTGGAGGCCAGTGCCCCAAGTCATCTGGCTGTAAGGGAGTAAAGGAAGCTTGGGGTATTAGGTGAAAGTAGAAAGAAAGAGAAACTCAGTTCCTATAAGCTCCACAGCAATCGAATGTGTCCTTGATCAGAGGGTGCCTGCTCTCAAGAGTTTGTGGGCACAGGTTGACTGTGGCTTGAGGATTGTGAGCATGGATTCTTCTTTCTGTAGTAAATTGCCTTGAGAGGTGTAAACTTAGGAAACTTTTGTAAAGCACTGATTGTACAAGACAACCCTCAAAGTGTATACCAGTTTTAAGTTTCTCCTGTTTCCTTACCTGAATGAAAGTTTTATTTATTTATTTTTCCTTAGTAAAGAGTGTTTGTTTCTTTCCCTCATGGAAGCCTGCTTATATAGTTTCCTTATGTCCATGCCATACAAGCTCTTGAAAGCTCCATTAAAATTTGCATTTTAGAGGATGAATTATTTTACCCTGTTCAAATATACTGTCCGACATTTGTTAGTAAAGTCAAATTATTCAGAGCTCCCTCTTCTGAAGTTAAATTTCTTATAAGGGGATGGACTGATGAATTAATTACCTAATGGTCTTATGTCATGGTCCCTGATGTGTTCCTTAGAAAGAAGGATCTTTCAGGGGTTGATTGGGTGGTTGGTTTCCATGTCAAAATTGAAGAGCATAGAATCAGTACTGTGAAGCCCTAAGCTTTCCTAAAACATAAATATGTATACCAGGAGCTGCTTCTTTGGTCACAGGGTATAGTGAATTCTTCTGAAGGGCAAGTATGGTCAGCACATGTTTCCCATCTCATATAAAAGATCCCTGCAAATAAACTGCAGATAGGCTTCCAAGCTTCATTGTGCAGTGTGCTGCTAACATTTCTGCACCTACAGTAGTCTGTGATCCTCATTATTAAAAATGTAGTCATAAATATGAGTAGAGTTTGACATTGTAGACTTATTACAGAAGGTGACTTTAAGGGAGCTAAGGAAGTAAATGATGAGCCCAAATAATTGCATTGAATTAGATATTTTATATTGAAGCCACAGAATTGAAAACAAAAGATAACCTACTATGATTTAAACCATTGTTTGATAACTCTTAGCCCATTTACCAAAGAGGACAGTTGCAGATTCTCCCTCCTCTGATACTATGAGGATTTTCACTTTAATACCTTTCTTAAACTAGGACCAAATATTATCAAAGATGCAATTTTCACAATAAATATATGCACAGGAATTTTAATTCTGTGAAGTTATTAAAAACCTAGAATTCGCTTATCAGGCAAGGTAGAGGTGAAGGTTCATGTTACTTAGCCCCTATCTCTGGGGGGCAAGTTTTATCTCAGGTAGTTTTTCTTTCCCTATATTATAGTATTTGTGCTTCCTTCCCTTTTGCCTTCCCACCTCCTTCTTTATTCTTCCATGGTATTACTCTGCTGTGGCACATTTTGTCCTAGATAAGGCATCGGAAGCAATTGCTCCCTGGGAAATTTGGAGTAGGCGGCTAGTAGCCATGATCAAAACTATAATAGTGTATTTAGAAGAGGATAGAGTTGGGTACGTTAGTAATATGTCTGTTATCACTGGATACCCTCCTCCCTTTGTGGCCAGTGGCTCTCTTTGGGAAATCTCCCTTTCTGCTATCTTGAGCTAAATAATGGCTGCTTTGAGAATCAAATAATTTTTACCCATCTGTCTCTGTTTTAATTGAGAGAAGTGTGGCCCTCTCTTTCATTTGTAGCTGCTAAAAGATGTTGAGATAGTTAACCTACCACCAACCATGCAGCCTCTTAGAAATGTGGAAGAATTGCGAGCATAAGGCTTCTTTCTGTCTTATTACACTGGACTTTCCCTCATGTGAGGGCATTGGTTACAGAAGAATTTCATTAGAGTACTCATCAGAAGCTGTTTCGTGGCTCTTTTGAACTTATTAATGAAAGGCAGCTGGCTGACAATTTGTGATCATTTTTGGTAGTTTTTACTCTGGCTTATTAGGTCTATTGTATATAGCATTTTATTTTTCAGCAGTTACTGAAAATGAACATCATTATAACTGATGGTAATTATAACAGCATAGTGGGTGAGGGGATCTGTCAGGAAGACACTTGTAACTGTGTGGTTTACCTAGACTCTTACTCAGAGGGTATGGGCTGGCTATTCAGATTAGGCTGCAGATAGGATTACATCATGACTTTCCATCTGTTGGATGTGTAGCTAGCTCAAGTTATGAGCAAGTGCCTTGTGTTTCCTGGTGAATACTAAACCTCATTTGGGCAAAAGCTCCAGGTGATGCCTGCACAGTCGCCTTTTTCTTGGAATGACTTGGATTGAGTCATGTGAGTCAGGAATTTCCTTGGCTTACTTAAAACATATATATGTATAAAACTATTCCTATTTGATTTACCTCAGTATTGCATGTTATGGAAAGGCCAGCTCAGCTCTCCAGCACATCTGATTCCGAGATCTCGCTCTACTGGTTAGGTTCCTTCCTCAAGTCCCATTGCTCCAACTCTGTATCTGTTTGTTGTACATTTTGGTCACGTGTGGACCAGTGCTTGGTCACTGCTAGCTCAAAAATTCCTGTTTCTTGAGGTGCTCAGCAATTGCCTTTCTTTTAAATAGGGATTTCTTTCCACTTGGTATTACTAGCTTCCTCAAAGAATACACGGATCCTGAGTCTCTGTCATAAGGAACTCGCCTGGGTATGTTTAGCTTTTAGATTCTTAATCATGGAGAAGCTTGGATATTTTAGTTTTTAGAGTGCTCCTCCCACCCCACCCCCCAATGGATTTTGTTCCTTTCTTCACCTGACACCATAGGGTGAATCACCGTTTTTGTCCTTGACACCTCCCCAAGATGGTGCCCCTATGTTTAAAGTTGTATGATGACTAATGCTTCAGACCATAACAAGTAGTTGTCAGGTACTAGATATTTAAGAAGTCTAGAATTTAGACTATTTTTGCTATGACTTTATAGGAGAAATGAGCTGTCAAAGAAATACATATAAGCCAGGGGGCGTGTAGGGTGAAGAGATTTTTGGAGACAGGGTTTCACCACGTTGTCTAGACTGGCCTCCACTCAGGATCTCTGTCTCAGCCTACCAAGGGCTGCTTATGATCATAGGTGTGCATCATCATGCCCAGTTCTTTTAGGAAACTATATTTTATAGATGGTCATAAAGGTAATTTTTCAGGATATAAAACAAATAACAAAAGTTTACACGAATTTTGTTGTCCAGATAAAAAGCTATTGATTTTCTATTAGCTCATCACTTTCCCTGTTCTTGTGCTGCTTATGGGAATGGTTGCTTTAAATTTGCTGCATTTGTGCCTTTCTGAGAGTCATAATCATGGCAGTTGTGTTTCTTGGCACCATTCTAAATGCTGGCATCCTGGGAACCTCTCTAAACTGGGTAGCTGTCACAACAATGTGAAGAAAAATTAGTGGGTCTTTTGAAGGTGGTGTGTGTTTTGTGAACTGAGTTCCTAGTATTTTAATAAAAAAGCTGCATGATGTGCTCTTATTTGCCTTTTGTGGCCATTAATCTCTACTTCTCTGTATAATGAAAGCAAGTTATATTCTGAGAAGAAAACTGGAATTGTTTGCTTTTTTGTTTGTTTCTTACTGAGAAACTTGCATAAAGAGCAGGCTACTACCACCTTCAGCCACTGATCATCAGTGAGCCTATCTGTAATCATTCTATAAAATCCTCCGTTGGAGGGCTGAAGAGATGGCTCAGGTGTTAAGAGTACTGGCTGTTCTTCCAGAGGACCTGAGTTCAGCTCCCAATATCCACATGGTAGCTCACAGCTCCAGATCCAGGGGATCCAACACCCTCACCCAGACATATGTACAGGCAAAAACAGCAGTGCACATACAATAAAAATACATAAAATCCTCCATCCTTTTTCTTTGTCAGCTCCTCTCAGAATCTCTTCAGTTACTTGAAATACCTTACTGTGTTCTTTTATTGGGTGAGTCATCAGAGACTGTCAAGAGTTCAGAGTAAGGAAGAGAACAATCAACATGAATAGAGAAAAGGAAGAAAATGGCTCCCTTACTATCATTAGTAATCTACATACGTTTCATGGTCTAAAAATCTATACTTGTTAACCCATAGCATAAAAATTTTGCCTTTCTTACACATTCCTCACCCTTGTTTCCCCAGGAGATAGTTGTCAGGGTTTATGAGGCCAGATTAAATATCCAAATTCAGTTTGTCCTAATTTTTTAAAGTATTTGAATTTCAGCCCTTGTGCTTTTGGAGTTTACTACTATTCTTGCAAATTGAGGCTCAGAAAAAAAGTGGGGGCCAGCCATCTCTGTCTTCTTCCTTTTGCACATGGGGTGGATGGCATTAGTATGCACTAACTGCAGAGTTACAGCACCTTGTGAAAAGAAGTGTAAGTAGTGTTTATTATTATTATAGTTTTAAAAACCTTTAATCGCACTTCTGTAATTAGCAGAATATAAAGCTGTCACATCTTTTCCATCAGAATTAACTTCTCATTCTTAATTCTTTTTTGAAAAATCTTAAAATAATTTAACATTCCTTAAATCTCTAAGTAGTTCAGATCAGGGGTAGAAGGTTTTTCACCCCCTGCCTTTGCCATCTTTTTTGTCACTCTTAGAAATCCATTTATGATCAGTACAGTTTAATAGTTCCTGGTCTCGAGACCGTGTCAGCACTGGACTCATTGGTTGTGAATATGAAAACCTACTGTTTTCCCTTGCAAACATGCTTTGGGCATAGGAAGTCTGGTTTAAAAAAAAAAAAAAAAAAAAAAAATATGTGAAAGATCACTTAAACCAAAGCCAGTTCTAAGGAGTGTTCGTTCCTGTTGGTTTACCTTCTCAGAGCAACAGGAATGTTACAGTGCGCAGTGAGTAGTTCTGTGACTTTTCTACCCGGAATTTCGGTAGTGCATTGGTCTTTGCATTTCTTGATGCTGTGATTCTGTTTTTCATGATGTTTTACTGCTTATGAGTGGTTGGGCTTTTGTTATTGTTGTTGTTTTGTTTTAATTAATTGGGACTATAAATGTAGATAGATGTGCTTTAGTACCAAGATGTTCTTTTTCCAAATCCCTAAATCTCTGATTTCCACACCACTCTTTCACAAATCTGTTTTATTGCTGATAGTAGAAGACTTTATCTCCACCTCCCTATAAGCGTGAGCACTGTGTTCAGCGAGCTACCTTGCAGGCTTTTGCTGAAAACTTCCTTGTAAACACAATTGCCTTGTTCAGTTTTGTTGTAAACTGACTCACCATGCGATGCACTGTTGATAGCTTCCTGATATGTGGTGGATAAGAGTGATAAAATAAAGCTTACAAAGAAAAGAAATTCTCTTTTATTTCTTATTCTTTTTAGTAAGATAGCATTTCATGTAGGTCAGCCAGCCAGCCTTCAATTCACTATGCAGCTGAGGCTGGCCTGGAGCTTGTGATCCTCCTGCTTCTACCTCTCAAATCCTGGGATTACAGATATATGTCGCTGCCCTAATTCTATTTCATAGGTTTCTTTTTCTTTCTTTCTCCCCTCCCCCCCCCCCCTTGAGCTTTCAAGACAGAGTTTCTCTGTATAAAAATGCCCTGGCTGTCCTGGAACTCATTCTGTAGACCAAGCTGGCCTCAAACTTAAGAGATCCGCCTGCCTCTACCTCCCTCATTCTGGGATTAAAGGAATACGCCACCACTGCCCAGCTTGTTTCATAAGTTTCTGACAGTAATTTTTTTCCAGTATGCATGAGGTTTAATCCATTAAAAATTTCCTGGGTCTGGACAAATGGTTCAGTGGTTAGTATTTGCTACTCCCACAAGGACAGATGTGGTTCCCAGCACCCTCACAACAGCTCATAATTGTTTATAACTTCAGTTCTATGGTGTGCTCTGTCCCCTCCTGGCCTCTGTAGGCAGCAAAAACGCGTACATATGTGTGTGTGCATACACATAGGTGTGCACATACATTTGTGTGCAGGTGTGTATGTATATACATATAGTGTACACACACACACATACTCAGACACACACAAAAAAATGGAGTAAATGACTACTATTCCTAGAAGTCACATGATGGAGGGAGAGCTGACTCCCCGTAGGCTGTTCTTCGATGCATGTGTGTGCACAGGCATGTGCACACATGTCACTAAATAAATACACAAAAGAAAAAAAAACTATATTTAATTTTGGTAAGTACTGAACCAAATCGACAGTATTAAAATGTAATTTTTATTTTTTAATTTTGAAAAAATGTTCATGAATAATCTGGTTCAATGAAATCCACAGCTGGGAGATTTGCATGCTAATATGTGTTTTACCAGATGGGATTGCTTTAATCAAGTGATGTTCTTTTGACAATAATATGTTTGAGGAGTGAATGAAATGGCATGATAGTAATAATGAATTTGTGAGAGCATATCAGTTAGGTGGCAGACACTATTTGCTAGAATTCAGATCATATATTTAATGTTTTGAGATACAAAGTCTTATGAATCTGAGCCTGTTTCCTATAGTTATGGATAACAGTACCTTACCAAAAAAAAAAAAAGAAAAAGAAAAAGAAAACAAAAAGAACAGTGATCAGAATGATAAAATCCAGGGACTTCAAGAACTCAGACTAGAATTATGTGTGGACGGAAGTTTCTGTTCTGCTGTGTTCCACAGCCCTTTAGTCCCAAATTAACACACAGAGGCTTAGATTATTTATAAACTGTTTGGCCTATTGCTCAGGCTTCTTATAGGTTAACTATTTCTTAATTATTAACCCATTTCTATTAATCTGTGTATCTCCACATGGTCTTGGCTTACTGGTGATGCCCAGGCCTCTTGCTTCCTCAGTAGCTACATGGCATCCTCCTGAATGCTTACTACCTTTCTCTATCCCTGTTTGGATTTCCCACCTGGCTAACTTCTGCCTGTCCATTGGACAAAACAGCTGTATTCATCAACTAACAAGAAAAACATATATTCACAGCATACAGAAGGACATTCCCCATCATTATGTGTGTCAAAATCAGCAATACCCATAACAGATCACACAATAGAATCAGTTCAGAGAGTGCCCTTCTTTGGGGTACTGACTAGGTCTGTGTGAGATCTGAGACAGCATTTATAACATGCTCACAGGTACAGCTGGTCCTTGCCTGGAACCACACTTAGAATTGTTGAACTCTTATTCTCAGTCTATTTCTCTGGTTGTGAAACAATACCAATTCACAAGCTACCCAGGTACCCCTGACATTTGAGACTGCAATAACAACCATTCCAACAGGGCTTTTGTTTGTTTTAAATACAGTGTCTCTGTTCTGTTTAACCTTCTGAGGCATGTTCTGACTCTGAGTGCAGAACTCATTCCGTTGTATGGTGGAAGTGAATTCACATGAACTTCCTAGGGTCTATGCAATGAATATCTAGCCTCTCACATGTGTTCCCTTTTCCTTTCTTGTACATGTGTGGTATGCATGTTGGGGGGGGGCATGGCTGCAGAGGAGGTGTGTGTCTAGCTTTGGAGCCTGTTCTGGAACTCTGTAGATCAGGCTGGTCTTGAACTCAAAGAGATCTGTCTGCCTCTGCCTCCCGAGTGCTGGGGTTAAAGGTGTGTGCTACCATTGCCCAGCCCAGGGCTCTGTCCTCTCAATCACTCTTCCACCTTAGTCTTTGAGAAGGATCAATTCCAGAGCGTTTGGAATGACTGACCTGGCTAGCCAGCTTGTCTCTCCCATAGCTGGAATTACAGGTGAGCTGCCACAAACCACCTATCATTTATGTGGGTTCTGGGGAATCCCCAGTCCAGCCCTCTTGCCTACAGTATAAATGCTTTTAACTACTGAACCATCTTCCCAGCCTTCAGGCTATGCTCTCCACACCACTGCTAGATAGAACCTCCAATCTCTCCATTTCCTATGCAAACACTTCTGTCCTTGAACCCCCTTTCTACTGCCTCTTTCAAGGCTCCTGCTGCCAATTTTATATGCTGTGCCCTCCTTTTCACGCTGCTGTTTGCCTTCTTAAAAAAAAGAAAAGAAAAGAAAAAGATTTAACGTGTATTTGTGTGTGCGCACACAGAGTACATGTATATGCATGCCCATAGAAGCCCATCAAATCTCCTTGAGTTGGAGTACAGGCTGTTGTGAGCTATTGTAGGTACAGGAACTGAAGTTAGATCCTCTGCAAGAGCAGCAAGTTCACTTAATCACCAAGCCAACTCTGCAGCCTGTTTGCACTTCTTAACACTTAGCCTGACCACACTACTTCCTGCTTTAAAATGTACCCAAACTTATGGGACACCTTGAAAGCAGTGCTACAAGGGGAGTTCATTGCACTAAGTGCCCATATGAAGAAAACAGAATAGTCACATTAGAGAATTAACAGCACAACTGAAAACCTTAGAACAAAAAGAAGCAAACTCACACCATAGGAATAGATGCCAGGAAATAATCAATTTGAGGGCTGAAATAAATAAAGTAGAAACCAGGAAAACAATACAAAAAAAAAAAAAAATCAATGCATCAAAGAGTTGGTTTTTTGAGAAAATCAACTAGACAAACTTTTATCCAAACTAACCAAAAGCAAAGAGAACATGCAAATTAACAAAAATTAGAAACGAAAGGGGGAACATAACAATAGACATTGAAGAAATCCAGACAATTTTCAGGTCATACTTTGAAAACCTGTATTCCACAAAATTTGAAAATTCAAAGGAAATGAACAAATTTCTGGATAACTATCACTTGCCAAAATTAAAAACAGATAAGCAACTTAAATAGACCTATAACCCCTAATGAAATAGAAGCAGTCATCAAAAGCCTCCCAACCAAAAAAAGCCCGGGGCCAGATAGCTTCAGTGCAGAATTCTACCAGAAATTCAAAGAAGAGCTAATACCAATATTCCTCAAATTGTTCCACACAATAGAAGCAGATGGCTCATTACCAAACTCTTTAAGAGGCCACAATCACCTTGGTACCCAAGCCACACAAAGACACAACTAAGAAAGAGAACTGCAGACTGATACCCCTAAAATATGTTTAAAATGTGATGCATGCCTTTAGTCCCAGCACTCGAGCAGCAGCAGAGGCAAGTGGATCTCTGTGTTCAGGCCAGCCTGATTTACAGACTTAGTTCTGGGACAGCCAGACTACACAGAGAACCCTTTCTTGGGGCAGAGGACACATTGTTTTTTCCTCTAATTAGGGATTTAATCCTCTGCAATTGTTAGTAAGGTTTTCACTATCTACCCCTGCTTGCCAGTACAGCCTCAATGCCTGTGTCTTTCCCAGCTTATACTTCATGCTTCAGCTAATTTGGAACTACTCACATTTCTGCTAATTCTCAGTTCATTCCTGCTGTTTAGCTCCTCATGGAAATGCCTTTCAGTTCCTTGCCCCTCACCTTTTGTGGATGATGGAATCTCATTTATTTGTTTTTTTGAGGCAGGGTTTTATGTACCCCAGACTGGCCTCAAGTCGATGACAAAGCCAGGATGACCTTGAACTGTAGATCCTGCTGCCTCCAGAGCAAAATCACTAGGATTACAGGTGTGCACTACCATGCTATTGGATCTTTTGCATTCAAATTACCTATGAGCTTTGCAGTGTTCTTAGAACATTATGAGAAAATAGCTTGATTGTGTGTGTGTGTGTGTGTGTGCGCGCGCGCGTGTGCATGTGTGAGTGCGCGCGCGCACGCATGGTATACGGAGCATGTGTATGCACATATTTGGGTGCATAATTGTTTTTATGTATGTTTGCATGTATGAATGTACATGTTTGTGGGTATGCTTATGTATGTGGCCTGTGCTCATGTGCATATGTATGGCTATAATGTGCATGTGTGCTTGCATGTATATGTATATACACTTGTGCATGTGTGTATGTGTCAGGTCTGAGCTCCAACACCAGAAAAGGAGAAAGATCACAGGAGGTTGGGAAATTAAATGAGTAGTCACAGGCAAATATGAACTACTTTACTCACTGAAACATAGGTAGGTGCTGGCAGGCACCTAAAACTCATCAGCACACACAAACTGCACAGAATTAGAATGTAGGCCTATAGGCAGACAGGGCAAAGCTTTGGATCTCAAGGCCATATTTAAACAAAATCACATAAAAGTGGCATTTTTTTCCAGAAGTAGTTATATGTCACTGCTTACCACAGGCTCTCTGGCTATCCAGTGTCAGCCATCATCAGCTGACTCATTGTCCACCCAGATGTCCAGTGTTAGCCATCTTGAGCTCATTGTATAGAGTCAAATCAGTACGTGTCTAAATTTTAATTGTTCTTTATGACCTTCTGTTGCTTGTAGTGTATATACACAGGTTTCTACATATGTGAATGTGTTTGCATGT